ATTATAAAATTAGAATAGAATAAAAAATATTTATTGGCAGAAAAACACATAGTTACAACACAAAATACAGTAACTATATATATAAGAAGTGTCTCATATTAGGCAAAAGGAACTGACTCAGCTAATGCTGTGAGTGTCCCAATGCAATGTGTACAGCTACACAGCGCTGGATTTCAGCCATTCCCTATTGATCCTTATCCAGTTCATATTGACCCTTATAATAAAGATTATGTTGTGGAATTAAAATTTTAATTTTAGAGATAGGTTCAGACAAACTGTGCCTCCGAATTGACCCCACTGTGTGGAAAATAGGTATTTAATTGGAATACTTATTGAACATATATATACATATTCACCGTTACAAGTGTTTACTTTGTTTTTTGTATATGTTTAAAATATACCAAAGTAAATATTTCATTTGTACCGTCGGTCCGGTTTAAGTAGCGAGACCTTCGGAGCCTGTATTCGGTACCTGAATCATAGCATGTTTCGTATTATAACAAGATTTTGTTTGTGTGTCTTAATCATCGCCTTGCCTTTGTCCCACTTTTTAGGTGGGCGCAGTGCAGTACCCATGTTTTACTCTCTCACCTTATTTCCTTGTTTAACTTCTTGAAAATATGAAGGTATTGAATGGTAGTATAGGCTTCTATAACGTAAGATTTATATAATAAAACAATGCAACTCCTTCGAGTTTACAATAAAAAAGAGACAATATATATATATATATATATATATATATATATATATATATATATATATATATATATATATATATATATATATATATATATATATATATATATTTATCTATTTGAAAACATGTGATCATTACTGTATACCTATTCGGCCAACAAACGCGTGACTTCCGTACTAAATTATTTATATTATACTCAGTATATTTTTTATAATTATATTTTTTATTTATGATTTATCACATAGAAAGATACAACTTTCAACTGAGCTACTTGCGACATCTATCGCAAGTAGCTCAGTTGAAAGGAAAACTAGCGATCCCTCCCGATTTCGTACCTATTCGAATTAGTATGTACAAATAAACCTTCCGTAAAAAAGTCTCTACATGACGCTACAACCCGTATCAAAATCCATTAGGTAGTTTGCAAGAAGTAAACGGAGAAATAGACAGACACGGACAGCGACTTTAAGTTATAATATTACATTATTATAGATTTATCGTGTCGCTAGTAAAGTACTTGCTTTAATGTTATAAAAGCTTCCAATACTCCTCTAGCGCTAAACCTGTTTGAAATAACCATATTGCTATTATATATTTTACGACGGAATCGATTAGGCGACGAGCCTATTTTACGACCAAAAACTGACACGCCTATAAAGTGGCGACATCTATATAAAACCATATCTGTGTGCATAAGGTTATTATAAAAATATTCAAATAGACTTTGTACTGACTAACGACAATGACGGCCGAGTGGTTGCGATTAGCAGATTATAACATTAAACTATGTATGTGGTAGTGTATTTCTGTATTTTAACTGATAACAACTTTATTTACTGTTTATTAGCTAATGACTAATTAATATTTGCTTACATTTAGGCGCCAATACTATTTACTCGTATTTCATTATATCAGTATAAGAACTCTTTAAGTAACCGATATAGCTCGAAGGATAAGTAAGCCGAAGTGGCAATCGGCTGGTTATATAGCTCGAAGAACTGACAACCAAAGGGGAAGAAAGGTTCTTCAGTAGCGACCTTTACGGGCAAACGCAGTGTGGGACGACCCCCACTAGATAGAGTGACAACCCCACAAATGCATTGCAGAAGTTAGTAAATACAGGAGGTTCAGGGTCGTTCCTTATGGCAGTCTATGGGGGAGGTCTATGTCCAGTAGTGGACGGATAATGGCTGAAATGATGATGATGGTGATGAACTCATTAACATTCACCATGAGAGGAGAATGGTAGACTACCATAACTCTATCTAGATTATACAATTTAAAGCGGCTTGTTATAGAAATTGATTTTAAGTGTTTATTCTACTTGCACTGGTGTATTGACATTCAGATTTACTATATTAGCTGTTAACTGCCCACTGCTAAAAATAGGTCTCCCACTTGGGGGGTTTTGCTTGTAGTTGCCACTCTTGGCAGGCGGATGGGCAACTGCAATTAGGTATTTTTTTTTTTTTGATGGGTGAAAATGGTATGGTAACCCCGCCTGCGCTAACGGGATACGCTGGCGGAGCACCGGTGAAGGGTGATAGATGAGAATGAAAACAGGCCAGTTAGCCCATCATGATGAATTCATCAGGAATTAACCATGATAGTTTCCAGGGAGAACCGCGAGAAGGTCGACCTGGTTGGGTATATTGCTAGCAATAGGATTCTCAGTCTCCATTACTAACAATCCCTTTCCCCCCTGCAATTAGGTATTGGTGACGTTTTAAGAAGGATGTGCTGCTCATCTCTCGCACCATTAATTTCCCTTAGTCGCCTTTGACGCCCTCGGGAAAGGAAAAGGTGACCCCTTCTATGCCGGGACCATACGGTTACTTCGGTAACTGTGGTTGACAACCCGCTAAGCGTAGCAACTACTAGCAAAAGCTCTCGATAGGGAGAGACCTATGTTTAGTAGTGAATAGGTAACGGTTAATATGATGATGAAAATCATATACCAACAGGAAAAAGACCCAAATTATTCTCTTCTTGTAATAATAACTGAGAACTTAGTAATCGTGTAAATATATATATTTATTGTGTCACTTAGTATCTTTATCTTATTGTTTGTTCAGTAAATAAACATTCACAACATGTTTCATATCGCTACATTTCACCAAATATTTTACAAAGTCAACTAATTCCTTAATCCTTACTTTATATTGCGAAACTAACAGTTTGTTTATTCGTTTGTTACTTCTTGGCGTCTTAACAGCTTTGCTAATTTATATCATTATGAAATTCGGTATACCTACACGCAGTATTTGGGTTGGGACAGCTACTTTTTATCACGGTCATACGTTCGAAGTCGCGGGTAAAGACTAGTAAATATATGAAAGAAAAAAATCATTGGCTACATTCGAATTCTACATAAGTTATGTCTTTACGACATTTCTTGGATTATAATGTTTGTCAACGATATTTAAGATGTTGTATTTGTATTACATTGATAATAAATTTAAACAACACAAAAAATGGTATCCGTTATAACAGAACACAAGGAGTTTACTGAAATTATCTTACTCATAATTAGGTATATAGATATACTTTAAAGTGAACTCTAAATAGGTAGATATGTATATGCCATATCATAATGAATTGAGTGGTGCTAGTTTTTTAAATCGTTATTATTTCATAAAATGTTACGTCTTCATTACACTTATTAAAATCCAGTCAAAATATATTTAATTTTTTGACCACTTAATTTTCCTTATCTTTCTTTAGTTTACTCTAGACAGTGTGTAATTTTTATATTCTTTTTTATGCAAATTTCAATTTTTCTAATTGATACTGCATCTAACTAACGCTTATATCCTGTAATTTCTTGAGACATTGAACAATAAGAAGAAAAACAAATGGATTTTAAAATTGAACCATAGAAATGCAGTGTAAATACGAAGCTCCACCAACATTTTTATTGACTTGATATTTGTTTTCGCTAGAGTGCACTTCCGTGTTGATTTTATATTAATTTTATCAAATTTAATTTCTTTTTCTAATAAGTAAAACTTATTTGATCTTGAGATTATTCCTATATTTATCAATTATTGTTAGTAAATGATAAAAATAATTCATTATTATTCACAATATAACCCAGTTATTTACTCGCATCCTCGTATAATATTAGTATGGAATATATAGTAGGACTACAGATATGTTTACTTATTATAAAGCCTTCATCTCGACCCGCCCCCGTTCTCAGAAAATTGACAAACGCCTACTAAAATAACTTTCTCCATTTTAGTCTCCAAGAATTTTTATTTATTTTTTTTTTTTCATATAAAAAGAAAAAAACATAATTTGCTGACAAAATTTTATATGAATAAGACGTAATAAAATCTATTTTTATTCTGTGTACATAACACTTGAAAAACATGAACCTACGTATTTTATTACCAATATAATGCAATCAGCACAAAAATAATTCATCGCGTCAGAAAACATAATGTGACAACTTGTTATGTTTACACCACATATAATGTTAGTACTTAATGATCTTAAGCGAGTACTCAATGATAAATTCTCTGACGTCCGTGAGGTTATCAGAGGTCGATTGGATCACGGAAACTCGATCGCATAGCTCTAATTCGCTCGTAAATAGGTAAATTGTTGCTATTCAATTGTATTAACACTTAATTTAATTTATTTTAATTTATTTGAAGAGAAAAAAATACCGTGTAGACAAAATGAATGTTGGGTGTCCATACTTCATACAACCGGCAAGACTAACTTATAACCATTACAATAGAAAGTAAGATAAAAAGAAGGAAAGGAACGATGAGGTCAAGTTTGGAACGCCATTCTCTGTTTCTAAAACTTCATCATCACCATCATCATGATGATGTCAGCCATTATCTGTCCACTGCTGAACATAGGCTTCCCTCATAGACTGCCATAAGGAACGATCCTGAGCCATCTGCATCCACTGACTCTCTGCAATGCAATTCTGCAATGAAATCACTCCATATAGTGAGGGGATCCTAAAACTTCACTTTGTTATACATATTTAAAATTTTCGTTTTTAGTAGAATTGCGTCAGAACTGCTTTATATTTATTTCTCGATGGTCCATACCAAAATAGTTTTATTAAACAATCAAATTAATATTTAATATGTTTAATAAATATAGAAAAATATAAATATAAAATTAAAATTTAGAGATAAATTTAGAATAAGGTACCTCAGAATCGAGTCCAATAGATCCTTTCTCCATCTCCTCACAGATAATAAATTACATTCCATTTTAAAGAACAATTTATCGTTGTCTATTAGTGTAAAGGTTAATTCATACAATAATTTGACAGGATCCAAGCAGATCCTGCACGGTGTCAATGGTCGCTTCCGACCACGGAAGCTGATAGCCATCATGGGACCGTCAGGGGCAGGAAAGTCCACACTACTGGATGTATTGTCTGGGTACCGCATCAGCGGCGTCGGTGGTGCCGTGTTCATAAATGGCAGAGGACGGATCATGAGTGAGTAATTCCTATTTTAAATAATTATTTTTTATACATTTATGTAATATAACTGGACAATGGAAATGTAAGGAATGTAATTTTCATATTTGTGCCTCTAATGAAAAAAAGTCAATATTTTGTTGTTAGATCTCTGTACACTAAATATTTTCTCCTTAATAATATGTGAAAGTAGTCGGAAGTCAAAATGGGACTATTTCCATAAGATAACTGCAATACATTGAACTGTTTAGTTAAGTAAAATTAAATTACTTCCGAAACTAGGATATACACAAATCAGATAATTCCATATGAAAGAAGTCACAAAATTACTACGTAACCAGTTATTAGTGATTTCAATTATCACATAATAATAGCGCTGGATCATTTAAAAAAAAAAAAAAACTATTGCTTGGCGCTCTTGAAGACTAACTACTTTGAATTGTGGCGTTTCTCACTAGAGACAGAGATACGGTCACAGGATATTTCGGGACTGTGTGACACTCACTCATCGGTCACGAGTTCATTATAATTACCTAATATTCTTGTTTTTTATTATTGCAATAGTAATTAGTAGTTCGAGATATAAATATAGGTACATACTACTGAAAAGATAACCTGATAATAGGTATCGAGTATAGATTTATTGCACAAATATTTTTAATTACATAAATTATCACATTGCAACGTAATAAGAGAAAATGGGAATGAATCATGCGGTTTCAATATATATGTTAATTATTGATTTTTTTTGTTTGTTTGTTTTTTTTTTTCTATTTTCGTAAGTCTGGGAGCCATTTACGCTTCGCTACTAAGCGTAAAAGTGTCGAAACGTTTTTTTCTATTGTTTTCATTTTTAATTAGAATGTAAGTATTAAATTCAATTACTTATTAGATACTTATAAGTGGATAGATATTAGTGTTGTATTTATTATGATAATTTCGTCATCATATAAGCCTTTAATTGTCCACTGCTGAACATAAGCCTCCCCCTTGGGTGGTTTTGCCAGTAATTGCCACGCTTGGCAGGCGGATTGGCAACCGCAATTAGGCTTTGGATGTACAACAGCGTCCATCTTAAATGCTGCTGTACATCCCTCGCCTTCCCTTAGTCGCCTCTTACGACACCCATGGAAAAGGAAGGGATGGCCTATTCTATGCTGGGACTACACCGCCAAATATGATAATTTGCATTAGTTTAATATATTATATGTATACATTTTGGATATTACCTATTGTGATTTATTTATGTCAAGCATTTCATACAAAGTTTCTGAAAGTTTGATTGAATAATATGTCTATGTCTAAATATCTTTTTTTATCAACTTAACATCGGTCTCCCCCATAGATCGCCATAGGGGACGGTCTTGAACCACGCGCATCCATTGACTTACTACAATACATTTAAGATCATCACTCTATCCAGTTGGTGCTTGTGTTGCACTGAGTTTTCCACTTAGCTTATTAATAACACGCTTATTAACGAGGAAGTCTCTAGCCGCGGACACAGTTCAAGGATTAGTTTATCTGATATGAAGTGATTAGATTTTTGCAAGAATTTAATTCCGTATGTTTACACATATCCGTATTCGTAATACACGCTCTATTTAGTAATATGATAAGAATCTATTTATCTATATCAGACCTTGTCGGATCCGTCTTTGAACGTAGGCTTTCATTCCATTTTTCTTGCCCATCTGTATATGTGATATTACTGAAGATCCTATTTAAGTTTGAATGAATTTTTCATGATAGGCCAACTAAATTGACTTCATCCTCGTTTATCATCATTCACTGGTACCCCGCTAGCATCGTTAGATCGGTGATTCAGGCACATTTAATTAATTTTTATCCCATAAGAACTATAATAAAATAAGTATTTGATCTTGTGTATATAATTTTTTTTATGCAATTTAGAATGGCACACAAACCGATGGAAAGTGGTAACCGTCGTCTATAGACATGAGCAGTATCATAGACATAACAGAGTATACTATTTCGCCCATGATACCATCTATGCGTTGCCATTCCTAAGGACTCCGGTGTTATTCTTCTGTACCCTGTAAATTCTCTGACATATCCTACCCTTCAAACAGAAACAGCCACACAGCTGCTTTAAATTCCAAGTTTAAATCTCAAAATCATAACAAAAATATATTAAATTTGGAAGTTTATACATACCTCTTTTTTGTCATGCCCATACTGTCGAAATAGTATAATGACAATAAATACTTTAAAAACAGAAATCATTGTATTGAGAAAAGTGAAAATTTTTCAAAGAAATATACATAGATAAGTCGAAAACCAATTTTATTTTTATATTATTCCTGACCAGTTTCATCTTACCACATCTTAAAGAGTCTATAAAATTATTTACGTGCAATTATGACGTTACAATTGTAAAATAAGATCTACAAATGTTTTTATAGTAATTATGTCAGATTATTATGCCTACCCCGCTGGACAAATAATAGCTGTTATGTTCTCAACACAATATTTATACAGAAATAGTGAAGTCCGTCTTAATTAATGTATGTAATTAATATCGAGTACGTCAAGTCGTCACATTAAAGTGATAATAAGAGTAATATTATTAAGGTCCCGGACATCAACATGTTATCCTCAAACTAAAGGATAGATACAAGAACTACTAAATAAGTTTGCTTAGATAAATTTAGTTAACTGATCATAATTCAATATTTTGTTGAGTCATGAGAATTTGTACTTTTTATACCCATTCTATACTAGAAGTTTTAGCCAGCTTAGCCCACGTAATCTATATATTTGTATAAAGAATCCTAGGTGTTAAGATATAATCTATAGGTATACCAAATTTAATTTTAATTTGTTACGTAGTTTTTACGTGAAAGAGTAACAAATATTCATACATACACCCATCTATCCTCACAAACTTTGGCATTTATAATAGTAGAAGGTAGGATTAATAATACATATGAGATTTTTTATAAGAATAACTAAATGCAATTATCTTACAAATATTATTAAATTAATTAATTAATTAATTAAATTATAAATACATTAAGAAAAGAGACAATTATTAAAAAAAAATGTTATTGTGAGTACTCTAGTATCTGTGATAAAGAGATTGCTTCATAGATAAAGCTTAATAAATAAAAAAAATATATAATTATCTTTGTTAAAGTCCATGCTGGTTTGTGTAATCATAAGAGACTTACTTAATCTATTTAATTTATTTTTATAATTTATTATTAGATACGTATCTATATACATATGAGTAATGTAATAATATTCTAAGCAGATAGTGTTTCTACACTACTTATGTGTATGGATTATGCAAAAACAACTGAACTGTATTTTTTGAGATGGAGACCTCTCCATGGTCTTGGTCTATGGTTTATCATGTAGAGTACTTTAAAAAAAAAAGTACAATTTGCCTTGCAAATAACATCGCGAGCTATCTTTACTGTTCTTATAATAATTTGAGATCTGGTTGGCGTGTCTGTTAATCAGGGTTGCCTGAAATAAAGAACAACCTGTCTGTACCTATAGAACTACATACTCGTAGAAATAGATGTCTACATACCTTGTACTGGGTAGTGCCGTTGATACAAATACAGTTTGATATTTTTATTTCGATTTTGTTAAGGAGTGGGTATCGTCAATTAACATACTGTGTATTATATTTTACGTATATATACAAATATATAGTTAATGGCCGTATGGTCACCGCATAGAATGGACTGTCCCTTACTTCCCCGTGGGTGTTGTAAGAGGCAACAAAGGTAATTTATCGGTCGAGGGATGGGAACAGCGTCTCTCTTAAAACGTCACCGTAGTCTGTGGTACCTGCCAGGCGTGGCATCTACTGGAAAAATCCCCTAATGGAAGGCCTATGTTCAGCAGTGGACAGTTAACGACTGGTATCGTCATAGGTATAGTAATAAATAAATGATTAACACATAATTAGATTTTTATCAGAAATTTATTAACGCAGCTATTTCAAGGATTAAGTAGTGTCTGAATCAATTATGTCTATAAAGATAAAGAGGGATTGATAAGTAAAATATTATTTATTATTCATTAATATTTTGTAATTTACGGTTTAAACCTTGATATCTCATGGCGCCAAGACTATCCGAAACTGATGTGTATGCGTAACCAATTGGCCATAATTTTTTTTTAATTGATGCAATTTGAATGGATGACCCACCTCTGCTGTCGGTATACACTAATGAAATACTAAATATGAATGATATAAATATATAAACAAATATAAATTCATTTCTATTTGCTTATCGCAATGAACTTAATAGACTTTTATTTTCAAAGAGGACTGCGTGAAGGTTGATCTAATAGAGTATATGGCTAGCAATGTTATCCCCATATTACTCAAAACTTATGGTTTTTAGTAATAAGTAAAAAGCAGTTAGGTGTAAACAATTATTATAAATATGTCAAACTATAATTGTTTTTATACTCTAAATATGGATTTAGTAATGTAAACGTATCTTTTTACTAATTATTAAAAAATAAATAAAAACAAAGCTTTTTATTTAAAAATAATACAAATGATAATAACAATAGGCAATAGCATATAAATAAATAAATAAAAATCACTCCTTAGGTATTTAAAAAAAAATGTCAAGTTCGATTATTAAATATGTAAAATATAAAAAAAAAATATAAATTTCCTAAGCAATGCACTGCCGCCAGCCTCCTGGGACGTAGACGTTAACGTAGACGGTGACCACGAGGGAATTTTCTACCTTCAAAAAATTCTTTAGAATCTGAATATGGATAATATTAAGGTATTTATTATAAATAAAACATCTATGATCAAAAAAAGTGGTCTCCTAAAACTTACTATTTCACTATATAGTATACCACAGTATACATTTTATTGCGTTGTAACAAAATATATTTGGGTTATCTATCTCGCCGTCAATAATTTAACTGTCTAGAGAATCAAATTAGATTCACTAAATTGAATCCTATTCACGGTAATGGGGTAATTTATTTGAGAGGTGATTAAGATAACAAAGCATAAAATATCAATACCAAATTATACTAATACTTACTCGTAAAATATTTTTCCAGAAAACTTCAAAAAGATGTCGTGCTACATCCAACAAGACGACCGTCTCCAGGGCTTGCTGACTGTGGGCGAGAACATGGCGTTAGCAGCCGATCTCAAACTACCCACCAGAATGGACAAATACGATAAAGGAGAAGTGGTTAGTAGAACTTTAAATCCAAGTTTGAAAGACACTACTAATATTTTTGAAAATAGTTTTTAGGAGATGAAATATTTCGCGTCATCAAGAATACGAGGTTACTGTTAGGGTTCTGCTCTTACAAGAGTTTCTTGTTGTTGTTTATTTAATGAAACAACAACAAGAAACTCTTGTAACGCTACATTAGTGTCGTACTCAATTGCCGACTCTTGCAACATAATCTTGAGCTACAGTAGCCAGTAGTTTCATTGTCATATCAATTATTGCATGCTAATTGAAATTACTGGAGTAAGCCATTTGGTATCAGAAATAGAGATAGACAGACGACTTTGAATTTTCCGCTTTAGAAAAAATATTTAATGTCCTTTTGTGTAGAAGAGAAATACGACAGTAGATAAAAATAACTGTGTTTGCTATATTATTTTACTTTTTATACATTTTCTACATGTTTTAATTTTTATATTTTTATATGTTATCCGTGCACGTTGTAATACAATTGTACCTCTATGGGTTAAGTACCAGATAATAAAGAATATTATTATTATTATAACATTAATTAACAATTCTTGTTTCCATAATCTTTGATTAATACCTCTAACCATTTAATAACATTAGACACCTGGTTTTTATTCTTTTTTAATTACATTAACGATGTCAAACGTACCAGAATGCTTACTTCGTAATAACACGACACTCAAGTGTGACTGAAACACGTACCTAATATCTATTTCTGTATTAGTTAATGAACTGTCCGCATTTTAACTATGATGTCAATCACGGAATAATGATATGAGAAATATCCTCTCAACAATGCCGTGTCATTTAATGATATTGAAAATGATAAACAGTCGTTAAGTGTTCATATTTATTTACATATTAATATTCTCATTAGAGAATCTAGTGGGAAGGATTCAAAGTTCAAACGTATCAAGTTTATTCAAGGCAATTATTACTAGGGCACAATAAATTACAAAGAATTAAAGAACAATAACTTTTAATATGGAGAGGAAATATTTTTTATAGATAAAACTTTAATAGATGGACGAGAAGATATTTGCTCTATTCTAGTTTTTAAGGGAGACATTTTTCATTTACTCGTTAACCATTTTCGGTTATTTTTCCCCGGTTTTATTTTCTTTGATTATGAATGTCGAAATATGAATAAAATCAAGATATATATGAAAAGTATTACTATAGAAACAGTCCATTTATGTAAGTTTGTTTCATTACAATAAGAGTCTAGACTACTATAGTGTATTATGTACATAGAACAAAATTATTGTTTCAGATAGAAGACATATTATCAAATCTTGGATTATATGAACATATAAATACACGAGGCTCCCAACTATCTGGAGGGCAGAAGAAGAGGCTGTCCATTGCACTGGAGCTCATCAATAATCCACTGATTATGTTCCTCGATGAACCTACCACGTAAGTAGCTTAATTTATATAAATTTGTCTTAAAAACATAAAAAAAAAAAATTGTTGCTATTACTAAATTAATTTTTAAGGCGGGGATTTGTTTTTACACGTTCGTTTCCATTCAGGTCTAGCCATGTGGTCCTGGCATTAATGGGCCACCCCTTTCTTTCCCATGGGTATCGTAAGAGGCGACTAAGGGAGCTTAATGGTCGAGGGATGGGCAGCAGCGTCTCTCTTAAAATATCACTAAAGTTTAACTAGGGTTGCCAATCCGCATGCCAAGCGTGGCAACTACTGACAGAGCCTCCCAATACGGGGAGGTTTATATTCAACAGTGTACAGTTAACGGCTGATGTAATTAATAAATTTCCTGAAATTTTAAATTTTCAGTGGGCTTGACAGTTCTTCATGCTCACAAGTGGTACAACTCTGCCGAAACCTGGCCCATCAAGGACGTACAATCATATGCACGGTCCACCAACCATCCGCCTCTCTCTTCAGACTGTTCGATCAAGTATATGTCTTAGCCGCTGGCCAGTGCCTCTACCAAGGCACCACAGACAACTTAGTACCGTACTTAGAGCATGCTAGCATACCTTGCCCGATATATCACAACCCTGCTGATTATAGTAAGTCATATTTTTATTATACTAATATTACATAATTTTTTATGTTACTAAGAATAGAAAAATTTGGTGGATTCTCTGTTATAGATATATAGGTTACATATTATATTAACATTATATATGTATTTTATAATAAGAATTAATTGTAATAAATCTAACTGATTTATAACAGTAAAATATTTCTTTTTGTGTAGCTTGAAGTAATGTACTACAGTATCTTTTTACTGTTTTGTAAATACACAATATATTTTAATGTCATATTTACCGGTTTAAGTTACGTGTAATTTGGTCAAAAAAGGTCTACTAATTTTTAATACGAACCTAACGCACAGTCATACTCGCGCACGTGTCTCAGCCGCTTAAGACTAAAGGTCCCGAATGGTCCCGAAACTAGCCGAGGTTTCTCGACCAAATTACACGTTAGTTAAACCGGTAATTATTACATTAAAATACTACGGTATCATAGCCATACTGTTATCATATCATATCATGGGCGAAATAGTATACTCATAGTATGTCCGAAATACACGAAATAGTATGTCCATGGTACTGCTCATGTCTATAGGCGACGGTTACCACTTTCCATCAGGTGGGCCGTCAGCTTGTTTGCCATTCTAAGTTGTATAAAAAAAAATCTTTTTTTACTCGCAACTCTCTGTAATTTGTGTAACCAATATAATGTATCTTTTAATCGGAACAAAATGTAACCTACTCGTATTTCCTTGCTAATCATAGGTACTATGTGTATACAAAATTTTATGAGAACGGGTTCAGCCGTTCAGGCATCAAGATATAACAAACTTATTTGTAAATGAACTTTAAACGATTCTAGTATAATAAAATTATTTTAAAATTTACAGTAATCGAACTGGCATCGGGTGAATATGGAGAAGACAAAATAAAATACTTAATGTCAAAGACTGACAACGGCAGATCCTTAGATTGGCTAGAAGAGCCAGACTCTATTCCCAGTATGGAAGCCCTGAGGAAACAACACCCTCTGTGCGAGCTCAGAAACCTGGATCCTGGTTCATCGGATGAGGAGACCTCTCAATCCAATCAGAGATCGGTACTCATCAGACGAGGATTCCTGAAAGCGAAACGTGATGCGGTATGTAATCACCTGTAGAGTAATGGTCAAAATTTTGACATTATAAAAAATTATATAAAAGGTGGACTTAATGCTGACTGATGATTGATGTGGTGATGATGATGATTTTTAAATATAGGGTATTTGAAAATGCCAATGCTAATGGTTTACATCGGGTTTCTCCCTTTTATTTCGCATATAAAGAATTATAGTTTAATCTATATATATAAAGTTTGAACGCATTTTTATTAAAACATAAATATACACACATACACACACACTCACACAATATATATAAATATGTATATTCTGTAAATAGTATATATATATTTCCCGTGATATATTAATATAGATCCCTGTGTGGGCCCGGCTACTAGAGGTTTACCAGAGAAAGACTTTGTACAAAAGTCGATTGCTTGGGGACCTTTGTCCTATTCGTGTTTCAACCGTGAAGCAGCTGTGTTTGCATGGCTGTGTTTTGGTTTGAAAGGTGGGATATGGCGTGAATTTACTAGGTACAGAGGAATAACATCTGAGTCCTCAGGAATGGCAACGCATGGGGGGTATCATGGGCGAGACAGTATACTCTGTAATGTCCATGGTACTGCTCATGTCTATAGGCGACGGCTACCACTTTCCATCAGGTGGGCTGTCAGCTTGTTTGCCATTTTAGAATGAAGAATTTAACTTAGGTTATAAAAAAAAAGCGTAGAATAAGCTTCCTATTCCTTTCCCGTGGATGTCGTAAGAGGCAACTAAGGGAGGGCGAGGGATGGGCAGCAGCATTCCATTTAAAACATCTTAAAAGCCTAACTGCGGTTGCCAATCCACCAGCCAAGCGCGGCAACTACCGGCAAAACACCCTTAGGGGGAGGCTTATGTTCAGCAGTGGACAGTTAAAGGCTGATATGATGATGATGATGGGTTTATTTAAAATTTAAACTTATATTTCTGACTGACTGATGACTGTAAATCCAATCATTACTGATTTATATATATTTTTTTTCTTTCCAGACAATGACTCACCTGCGCGTTATCGTAAACATATTAGTAGGTCTCATGCTAGGAGTATTATTCATCAACGCCGGCAACGAAGGCTCCAGGGTTTTAGACAATTACAACTTACTTTTCGCCATCTTGATGCACCATATGATGTCACCGATGATGTTAACTATCTTAACTTGTGAGTATCTCGACTATAAACTGTTTCCCATGTCCCGTAATAATTTTATTACGCTCTTCGAATTAAAGATTAAAATCTTTGCTGTGTGGTCCCAGTATAAAATAAACCACCTGTTCCTTTCCCGTGGGTGTCGTAAGAGGCGACTACGGGGGTTTATAGTGAACAGATGTGCAGCAGCGTTCCTCTTAAAACATCGCCTGCCAACCGTGGCAACTACTGGTAAAACCGCCCTTATGAGAGAGGCTATGGCTACTCCTCTCCATCCAATGGTTGCCTGGAAGAGATCGCTCTTAGCGATAAGGTCGCCCATTGTTTTCTCATTGTGACTATTTCTTGTAATTATTTATATTTATAATAAGTTTACTATTATAATCTTTTGGAGGAAACGATAAAGAGTATCTATCTATCTACGTCCAGCAGTGGATATTTAACGACTGATACAGTATACAACATATGTTTGTCATGTTACAACATGCGTGCATCTTCTTACGGTTAATTTTATTTAAGCATTTTATCCTCTCAACTGTTATTATCTATATGTCCGCTCAGCGGACGCGACACAGTTGAGAATGCGCTTCTGTGTCGCGACCGCTTAGCGGACATAAAGATAATAATGTCATATATATTGTTTTATTTAAACTAGCTTGGCGATAAGCTTAAATTATTGTAAACAAACCACCTCTTGTCCCTAACGCCAAGAATGTACGTAAAATAATGAAATAGGAGACCCACTTAAGTGTCAATTGAAGAGGGACTTTTTTTGGTCCATGTTTATAAACAAGTGCTGTAGTATAAAAAAAATGTATTGGAACATAAGGCATTTTATTTTTATTTTATCAAGTATATAATATTGTACAAAAAATATATAATTTTACATCCAGCAAGGTCTTAGTTTTTTAATAATTGAAAAATAAAAGGTAATTTATAGGTGACCCCATTTTTTTTCTCAAAGAACAGATGCAATGCAATTCAAGTCGAGTGTAGTGTAAGAAATTACATAAGGAATCTAGTTGGAATATAAATCTAATCTGAATTATGTATAATTCCAATTAGATTTCGAATCAGGTTTTTTAAACCTATACGTTGAAAATACCTAGTCTGTGTAAAGTCCGCTCACGGGACGCCACAGATGTAGATTTTCCATCATTTTGCATGACACAGTTGAAAGGTTATTCTTTATATGTAATGTCCACCCATGCGGCCACATTTTTACGTTTTAAAAAGTGGCCATTAAGGCTGCATACGCGACGGAAGCTTAAAAATGGAGTAACTTCTCCCGTTTTCCCAACATTTTCCTTCACTGCTCTGCTCCTATTGATCGTAGCGTGATGAAAAATATACTATAACCTGCCCAGGAGTATGAAGAATAATTGTACCAAGTTTCGTTAAAATCCGTAGAGTAGTTTTTGTTTCTATAACAAACACACAGACAGACAGATAAAAATTTTACTGATTGCATTTTTGGCATCAGTATCGATCACTAATCACCCCCTGATAGTTATTTTTGAAATATATTTCATGTACAGAATTGACTTCTCTACAGATTTATTATAAGTATAGATTTGAAAAAAGTGATAGTTTTATTTATTACTGTTTCTCATTATCTAACTGCGAAACTGCGAATTAAATTTCCAAAATTCAAAAAATGCTACAATTGTTTTTTTTGTTTTACAATTCCAGTCCCTGCCGAGATGTCTGTATTATCCAAAGAACATTTCAACAGATGGTACTCGCTGGGCTCTTATTATATATCTATAACCATAGTGGATCTACCGATATCCGTAAGTATATTGTTATTTATTAAATAACCTGTTTTTATGTGATTCTCAAAGAAGGTTCTCAGTTCATTTTCTTACTAATTCTGCCTATAATACGGAAACTATATCGTTTGTAAAAAAAAAACATGAGACTGATTCTTACAATTCTTTGGGCAGACGATAGGGCTTACTCTCTTATTAGTCCCATATTAATTTTGTATAATTTTTTTACGAATTAACAAACATTGTGTAACGAAGCAAAATGTTCTTTTAGACACGCGACTATTAGTTCAAAATTAAAGTATATTAAATTTTATGTATAAAAGGTGTACGCACAGAAAATCTGTATTCTGTGGTGTAGGTTCAAATCTCGTCCACTTCGAAATTTTTCAATCCTTCAACAATTATTATAATATAAATTTGTTATATTTCTTCTTGAATTTAATTTATTTAAAGTCGATGGACATAATTTTAAACATTTACCACTTGTCTTTATACACGGAAATTATCTTAACTTTGACACAACTCACTATGATCTATTTGAATAGAAATTAATGATAATGTAAACAAACAAACCACCTGAGTTGCATCAATAACGAACGAACTAAAAGAAAGTAGGCTTCAATGGTATGGCCATAAAATGAGAAGGGAAGAGCTTCTCGGTAAAAATAGTTATGAATATCCCTACGAAACGCCAGGTAAAGATAGACCTCTCGCTACATTGTGATCCAATATCCAGAAGAGATGAAAACACGGAACCTAGCTCCTAGGACAGCCAAGGACAAAGTCCTGGCGCCGCTGTACAAGAAGACTCGACCGCAAATAGTGCTGGGTTTAAAGGCTGGGAAAAGAAATAAACAATTCACTGCTCTGAAACGCTTACTGTTTTTAACTAATAGCTAACGGGTAGAGAATGTCATACGGCTTTAAGCTCGCCATTTGTACAAAATAAAAGGCCTGATCAAAAATCGCTAATGTCCAATGTTGATATAAATAAGAAATCGATTAACTGAATGTATATATTTGTTTATTTAAACTTTACACAGTAAAATTCTATGTACATTTGGCGGACTTGAAACCAAACGGTGTTCTCAACCATTGGGCAAACCGAAAAATAAGTAGGCGGTGCATTATTGAATAGAGGAAAAATAAAGTAATACTTGATATACTCGTATGCAAATAACATAAACATACAATTAGATTAATATAAACATACACATATTATATTAAATAAATAATTAAATCTCAACAAAATCTAATCACCTTTTCACGAAGTTCTACTGAAACAAACTATTAATCTAATTAATTGTTACATTGCAGATAGTCGCGTGTGCCATATTCAGCGTGATCGTGTACACGATGTCAGGGCAACCGCTGGACATCGTCAGGTTCTCCATGTTCTTCGTCATCTCGCTGTACACGGTGCTGGTCGCGCAGAGCTTCGGACTCATGATCGGTGCGGCATTCGACGTTGTTGTAAGTAGTCTCATTACTTTGAACTATAGTTGTAAGTTATTTTCATACGCTGCAGCCTCTCATATTAATAAGTGACGATAGAATTGTAACGCAAATGGCTGCGCTATCGGTATAAGCTGGCGAGGCACCAGTGAGTGGTGATAAGTTAGGGTGAAAGCAGGTTGAATAGCCCATAGTGATAAATCAACGCCTCTAGTATTATAGTGACGTCTTCGGATCAAAATTGTCGTCACTTTTAGTAAATTTGGTATCGGGCCCTTAAAACACTTCTCAATTTAATTTAATTTACTTCTCAATTTGATTTCATTTGCTTCTTAATTTGGTTTTATTTGCTTTTCTCAATTTTATTTAATTTTCTTTTTAATTTGATTTGATTTTCTTCTCTATTCAATCTATGACTTGTATTGCATTCGATACAGTTTATTCCAGTTATACTATACAACTAATTTAATACAAGACGGAAAACAGTCGCAATTAGTTCTGTACATAGTTGTCTCGTTTACCAACAATTAATTCTCTTGTATTTAAGATTCATGTTATATTTATTTTCGTTTATTAATTCTAAATAGCAGAGCATGTGCAATGTCATATGTGATTATAAGCTATGTATAAGGATAAGGATATATTACATGTCAACTTAATATGTCTCCAGAACGGTACATTCCTGGGTCCGACCTTCTCCGTGCCTATGATGATGTTCGCCGGTTTCGGTGTGACGCTACGAGACTTGCCTTCATACCTCTACTGGGGTTCATACGTGTCGTACCTTAGATACGGCCTGGAGGGCTTCATCGCTGCAATTTACGGCATGGACCGACCAAAATTGGCGTGTGAAGAGGCGCTATATTGCCATTATAGGTAAACAAAGTGTTATTTTTTTTATAACAAATTTTCAAAACATAATCTTAGATATTTTAAGATATGGAAACATTGAAAATCGTTTCGTGCCTCCAGTCAAATTGTTTATGATTACTCTTCTCCATCCAAAGATTGCCTGGAAGAGATTTGATTGCTCTTAGCGACAAGGCCGCCCATTATTTTCTCTATGTAATAATTTCTTGTACTTTTTTTGGTTTTCTAATAAGTATCTTTTTTTATAATAATATCTAATAATTTTTATTTTAATCTAAAATATTGACGTCGAAAAATTTATGCTCAAACTATTTTAAGTGCATTTCAATAAGGTGGGATAAAAATTAATAGGGTTTACTTTTTAAAGAGTTTAATAAGGTAGGGAAATATTTATTGCCTGTTAACAATTATGAAGAGAAAATATTTCGGTATTATTATTTACTGAGGCTCTGCTCCGTATATTTCTAATCATGCTTCTTTAACAGAAAGACTTGATGGTGACTATAAGAGCAATTAAATAGGTTTAAATGAAGGATCAGTGTTAAAATGTGAAATTGGATTAGAATGAGTAAATAGATATACTATAAAAGATTGAAAGGGAGTAGGTACCGATCAAAATCTAGATGACCATGTTAGACATAAGACATTTGAATATATATACAGGTGTCCGGTAATGAATGGATAACCTTGAAACGTCTTATAGTTCAACTTATGGCCGTCTTAAAAAAAATACGAAACAAAATATATCATAAGTAGTACCTTTGTTATCTTTATTTTAAAGAAAAGTAAATTTTTTTCTATCTTATTTTACTATCCTGAACACTATGACCAGAAATTAATGAATTCTATTGGTTTTTTGTTGTTTTATTATTGTACACTAACTGTGCTAATAGATAGAAAGTGAATAGTATGACTACTTATTGCAGTTTTTTTTTAATACGCAAACTAATTTATTTTTGAAAAATATGCAATAAAACATATTTTTTAAGTAAAGTTCAAACCTCTAGGGTATAAAAAAAATGTATGAATACATGGGTGACCAATAATTTTATCAAATATTTCGTAACCAAATTAAATAAATTAATTCTGATCAACTGATTATTTTAATTGTATCTGTGTCGTTGTGCAGACTTCCTCGCATCTTCCTCAATGATGTGGCCATGTCTCCGGACATGTTCTGGTGGGACGTGCTGGCGCTGACGGTGTTCCTCTTCGTGCTCAGGATAGCTGCGTTCCTTCTTCTCAAATGGAAACTTACCGCTGTCCGATAAATTGTAACAGTTCTCTAGCGAACATCCATTTTTATTTTTAGTTTAAAATTAAATTAATTAAATCAAATTAGTCAAACAAATACAGACTGTAAGTCACGACTTTTACAACAACCAAAGTAAAAGAGACTACATTTGGTCGTGATTAGTAAATATTATAATATATTATAATACTGGTTTATAATGTTTTAAAATAATTAGTTGTGAGTAATAATTCTAAAGTGCCAATTACTGAAATTTATCATCATTACGATCATCATTATTATTTCAGTCATTTGCACTGAATTTTATATTTTAAATTAAATAAACTGACATGAAAAACTTATAAGGATCACCAAAGACTATATTTAATCGAGGTTTTTTCAACATACTACAGCATAGGGTTCTTCAAATAAAAAGGTTTCTCAAGGTCGGAAATGCAGGGGTAATGCGCCTGGTATTGCAGGCGTTTATAGGCTACGGTAACCGCTTACTAACAGGTGGGCCGTATGCTTGTTTGCCAACTCAGTGGTATAAAAATAAATTTAAAAGTACGCAGTTCTACATGAAACCTCTTATATCTAATTTTTTTTTGTATTTTGTTATATGTTTCTTGCAATAAATTGAAAATTTATTTTATAAATACTGAATAAGAACTTTAGAACCTATTCCACGTTTATATAGACTAGGTACTTATAGTAAAAAATGTGATGCCTATTATTGGACCAAATTTTATATTTTTGCTCAATTAAGTTTACATAGATGAATAAAAATGTGTTTGTTACATAATAATATGCATGTAACTGATACATCTATTGACGTTTGTACAAAATTGTACGTACATCATACGTAATTTAATAACATATATATATATGTAATTTATGGTCGAGGGATGGGCAGTATCAAAATATCTCTAAAAGCCTAACTGAAGTTGCCAACCCGCCTACCAAGCGTAGCAATTACTAGCAAAACTCCTCTTATGGGGAAGACTTATGTTTAGCAGTGAAAATAGCAGCTGATATATATATATATATATATATATATATATATATATATATATATATATATATATATATATATATATATATATATATATATATATATATATATATATATATATATATATATATATAATATATATATATATAAAAAGTAATAATATATAACTTTATGATTTGCTCAAGATTTCTTAAAAAAATTATAAGTGAGTAAGAGAGGATCGACTTTCTACATCAGCGGAATTGGAGTTAAAAAATCACATTTATTACCTGAATCATAATACGATTCATCTCGTATAACTCAACCGATGGAACTGTACTAATGCGATAATATTATACTCTTAGCGCGAGATGTCTATTAAATTCGGTAGGTTAATACAAAATTAATCATATCGTGAAAATTCGATATTAAGCCCCAATCGCTCTAGCGATTTTTGCAGTCTACTGCAGCTCCGGTCCAATTTATGTAGCAATATTTACTGGAAAATTGGATAAGTGTGATATTATGCGATGTGTTCTTGTGTACCGTAGTGTAAGAGAATACTTTTGTAAATAAAATTAAAGACATGTAAAGACAATATATTTTAAATACACTATAGGGACTTAAGGCAATAAAAAATATTATTAAATAGTGTAATTAAAATGTGTCAACAACGCGAAAACTTAAAATTGACTATGTAAAGATAATGTTCCACAAAATGTTAATATAAAACCAAATATAAATAATACATATTTTATATGTGTAACATTAAAATGAATAAATTGAACCAAGAATACTAATAAAATTAGATACATTAAATAATTTTAAATTCTAAGGTATTGTCGGACTTTTAATTCGACGCAGTAAACTGACATAAGCTAATGTCACTTTCAAAAATAATGTTGCCACACTTAAACTAGTAGTGAAGGCTACATTCATTTAAAAACGAACTATTTTTACTAGCGTAAACCTATTAAGTTATAATTCTATAAGTAATATATAATTACTATTTATTTATTTATTACTATTTTATTTACAACAAAAACAAAACAAGAATAAAACCTTCCTATTTCGATTATTTTTATATTTATGCCCATAAAAAAAAATAATAATACAGCAATACAGCAATAACCTGCAACACTGGAACTGTCAGTTTACTGCATCGAATTAAAAGTTCGACTATAGATGAGGGTAGATGCACAGGGATTACATTTTGTCGGATGTTGGACGGATTCTTCTCTCTTCCACATTATTTGATAAGCAATTAAGTGCTAGTCACAAACATTATTAAGGAAGTGCTTAATCTGAGCCACTGTGTATCGTCAACGTTGGTGTAAAACTGAATAATTCAATTTTTTTATATATTTTTTTTATAAATTATGAATATTTTTATAATTTGTTAATTTTTTTGAAATTTTTCAAAGTTCGAGTAAACCTAGAGTACCTCTGCCTCATTCGTATTTCTACTGTAAAACAGTTGTGTTTGCATGGCTGTGTTTCAGTTTGAAGGGTGGGATATAGCAGTGAATTTACAGGGTACAGAGGAATAACACCTGAGTCTCCAGGAATAGCAACGCATGGGGGTATTATGGTTAAAACAGTATACTCTGTTAAGACCATGGTACTGCTCTTTGTATCAGGCAGGCCGTTAGCTCGTTTGTCATTCTAAGTTGCATAAAAAAAATTAAAACAATTTAGAAAACGGTGAAACACTATTATCTCGAAATTATTATAAATTGAGTCATTAAGTTTTCCACTTACGTGGACTATGTGTATATGCTTAGAAATAAAAATTAGCTCAAAATCGGTAGAGTTCCATCCTATCAGTTCACCTAGGTGGACCATGGGTGTATTTTTCTTGCCTATGAATAAACTTATGGTATGTACAAAGTCTGTTTTATATTGATTTTTTATTATTATCTTAAGAAATGTTGTTATTTAATATTTTATTTTTTATTTTTATTTCATTTCATCGTTTTGTATTTTTATATAAATGACGCTGTCACTGATCATTGATTTTTAGCTACATACGCGTAACGTTGAGCGATGACGATTTTATTGTTGAAACTTATATTAAATTCGATAAAGGTTTTTCCTTGTAATTATTGATGTTTTAAATGGAGTAGAGACGTGAGTGCTCAAAGTTATGTTCCTGTTGTTGGAAGATGTAATAAAATGTCGTTACACGTGTCGTGTGTAGATCGTACACATAATTTTTATTAGTTATTATAATTATTATTATGGTTTACATAAAATGGTACCTACATGCAACGTAGGAAAGGTACACAATTAATTGTGCAGGCCTTTAGTAATAGCAAAATGCACTTACATTAAATAGTTTCTTATTTGAAGTATTTTTTTAAGCATATGAAAATGTACTATACATATATATGTATAGTACATTTTATATATATATGTATATATATATTTGAAAAAAAGTTTCTAATAAATTTTCTGCGTATATGATATATACATATTTATTTATTTGTTTGCATTTTGCTAATACTAAATGCTTATTTATTTTATTATCTACGTATAGACTTAAACATTTATGTAGGTAATTAAACGTAAAATATAAGATTTAATTTGAATAAAATTGTATGTAAATGGTGATAATAAATTAAGTTTAATAAATTATAAAAATGTATATTTATTTAAATTACCTACCTACTTATTTACTACGCAATTAATCAGCTTCATCATTTTACTTAAATTAAAAAAAAAATATTTTTGAATTCGGTCTTCTCCGTTGACAAATTATTAGCTAGTTAATCTCTTTACTATATATATTTATTTATAGGATCACCAACATAAGTTATAGCGAAGCATTTCAGTACAATACACTGGTGGATCAGATCTAACTGTTCTTACATTCAGAGGCAACCACAGCATGCAATATGTTTTCCATGTAACAATAATGTATAGATATTTAAAAAAATGAAATAGAAATAACAAATTGAAAATACTTTAAAAAAAACTTGTTATATCATATTACAGTGAATATGTTTATTAAAAATATTAATTATATTTATGTATTTTTTTATATTTAACATAAAAGTACGTATTTTAATTATAATTGACATACGAATTTTTTTCTTCTATAACATATCTCTACAATAGAGTAAAAAAAATGTTCGCGCCAATGTTGCCATATTTAAAATAATGTAATTAATGTAGTACAACTAGACAACAACAACAAATCGTTGCCAATTATGGAAATAAGAGCATCATAATAAACAGATGATAAAATTAAGGGCCAGAAGAGGGATCTTCTATTGATTTTTCAACAACCAGTCTTCGATAAGAGGAAGATATTCGTCCCTTCTTTTTTTCAATGGTTGAAACTGTTTAATCGTTAACCCGCCTGCGCTATCGAGATACACTGGTAGGGCACTAGTGAGGAATGAAAGGTGAGGATGAAGCAGGTCAGTTGGCCCATCGTCATGAATTTATCAAAAATTAACCACAATGTTTTCCAGGGGGAACCGCGTGGAGGTTGACCTTTTTTTTTGGGTATGTAGTAATAAATAAACGTGTTTGTTTGATCTTATTACTAACAATCCCTTTTCCCCCCAATATTAATCCTTTGTCATCGGTGAAAAAGAAGATATGGTTACTTACACTAGTATTAATACACCAATACAATTATTACCCGTGGGGGAAAGGGATTGTTAGTAATTGAGACTGAGAATCCCATTGCTAGCAATATACCCAAACAGGTCGACCTCCTCGCGGTTCCGCTTGGACACTATCATGGTTAATTCCCGATGAATTCATCATGATGGGCTAACTGGCCTGTTTTCATTCTCACCTATCATCCTTCACTGGTGCTCCGCCAGCGTATCCCATTAGCGCAGGCGGGGATACCATACCATTTTCACCTATAAAAAAAATGATTACCCATGTCTTGGGGGTCATACCCTGTCAGGGTCATACCCTGCCAGGTCGAACTCCACGTGGTCCACCTTGGAAAACATCGTGGTGAATTCCAGGTGTATTCATCACAATGGACTAACTGATCTGCGTTTACAAACTCACCTATCATTTCTCGCTGGTGTTCCGTCAGCGTGTACCATTAGCGCAGGTGGGGTAACCATTCAATTATCATCCATTAAAAAAAAACTCTATTGTCTTACATTACGGAAGTAAAAATTAACAATAATAAATTCTTACAATTAATTTTTAATTTAATTACAATTATTTTATGAAATCTATAAATAATACAATTAATTTGTTAATTCTTAACTTTATTTAATCTAGAACTCCATACAAAATCAATAAAAAACCACTGTAAATAATACACGATTAATATCTGCAAAGTGCCGAACAATAATATAAATATAATTTGTATAATATTGCTTCTTGCAAAAAACTCATACGCATGATATTCCGTTAGGCTGCTGCTAAGTATGATTCTGTGGACAAAGACGGTTGATACAGTATAATATTTTTTTTTGATAGGTGAAAATGGAATGGTATCCCCGCCTGCGCTAACGGTATACGCTGGCGGGGCATCAGTGAAGGGTGATCGATGAAAATGAAAACAGGCCAGTTAGCCCATCGTTAGCCCACCAGGGGGAATCGCATTTCGGAATGCGATTCCAATTCGGAATGCAATCGGAATTTATATTTCAATAATAACATTTTATTTTCGCTATATTTTTAAGCAATTTCCATAAGGAGGATATTTTTCATTCGTATGTGTATGTTTTTTGAGTATATCTTACGTGATATCTTTTTCAATTCTGAAATGATTTCGATAATTCTATAAATTTTTTACAATACTTGGCGTATAGATAAATGGCGTATAAATGGCGTACAAGCTGACGGCCTATCTGATGGAAAGTGGTAACATCGCTTATAAACATAAACAGCGAAGCTACAGGCAATAGTTGTTATAAATTAAAAAGGAACAATTATTATGTAGCCGTGTGATTCCGACGAAGAATAAGCTATTCATTCACTTCTCGTGGGAGTCGTAAGAGACGACCAAGGGAACTTGATATTCGATAGATGGGCAGTAGCGTCCCTATTAAAACATCGCCAGAGCCTAACTACGGTTATCAACCCTCCTACCAAGCGTAGCAACTACTGACAAAACCTTCCAGGCCTATGTTTAACGAAATAATAAAAGTATAAATAACAATGTCAAAAATATTTTACACAATATTTCTAACATTACTTACGCAATAGAGTAAAGAGTGGTGAAAGCAAATAAAGCCACTAAACCAGGCTTCAGTGAAGGTGGCCTTCGCCGGGGCACGAGTACTAGGTCCAGCACAATTACAAGCGCAGAGACAGTGTGCAGGGAATGCTGAGCCCATTCTGGCAGGTAATCGAATATTCGCTCTGTAGCAATCAACTTACGGTCCGTATTCCATAGACACCAAAACCAAATATCACAACACTGAAATTGTAATAACCAAAATTTTATTTCAAAAATAAATAAAAAATAATAGGGCATGAGTTTCTGATGATGAGTTATCACACTTTTTTTTGATGGGATAAAAATAAAATAGTAACCTTTTTATTACGTTCTTTTCAAAAAATTCCATGCATCTTGAAAACCCTAGGAAGTTCATTCCACGACCTGAAAGTTCGTGGAAAAAAACTGCTCTGAAACCATGCCGTGCGTGGCTACGTTTTTTTTTAATTTTAAGAATCTCCTATAGAGGCAGGTTATTCATGTATATTCCTCCAACTAGCTCTATTTCAGGCCATGTCTTTGACCTCTCTAGTTCTAGGGTGTGAAGATGAATTCCCTGCCAATGGTGACCACGGCAATCTTTGAATACATGAAAATATATTACGTGCAATTTGTTTATCACAATCATAACACAATCACAATTTCAAATTACAATACTTTCGTGTTTTACAATTTTAGAACGTATTTTTTTTTTTTATACTAATTAGAATGGCAAACAAGCTGACGGCCCACCTGATGTAAAGTGGTAACCGACGTCTATAGACATAAGCAGTACCATGGACACAACAAAGTATACTGTTTCGCCCATGATATCCCCCATGCGTTGCCATTCCTAAGGACTCAGGTGTTATTCCTCCGTACCCAGTAAATTCACGCCAGTTCAGTAAATTTCTCAGTAGTCAGATTTCAGTTTAAACTTATTTTTCTTTTATTACAAATCTTCCTTCACTATCTTACATTACTTTTTTACTACTTTAACAAAAATGAAACATATATATACTCACCAACGTACATGGGAAAATGATACCAGTCATAGCAATATCTCGTAATCTATCCAAGGCTTGAACATACTGAGTATACTTGCTGTATCTTTGTTTCCATTCACAGTAAAAACTTACTGGGAGATAAAATAACATCACGAGCTGTAACATATAAATTATTTTTTTTGTTTTTATTAAAATCAGAGTTACACAGTTTTGTCCTCATTTCTTGGTATCGTGTTTATTTTTTCGTTCGACCGTCTAGCGCTAAATGATAATAATCTTTTATTTATAAAGTAAAATAGAAATTTAGCGGTGTAAAAAATATTTTTACGTATAAAATATATAATAACTTAAATAAAAATAATAAAAAACTAATAGGTGACTCTTAAATAGCAATGTCTATTCTGTAAGTTCATTCTAAGGTCTATTCATTTGTTATTTCCTTATGGTTTACCGCGATTACTGCTTGTTAAACATAATTTAAAAGTTTTCCTGCAATAACAGTAGACCAATTAGAGCTCTAATTGAGATCTACAATAAAAAGTATCATCTTATCAAAACTTACTTTATTATTATTTTTATCACAATGAATGTAAGTGACTATAAAGGTAGAGGAGAACTAAAAAGAAATGGATGGACTATGTGAAAGTTGATATTTGAAATTAAATAAAGAGAATTGACCGCCAAAAGATAAAGGCCAAACACTTCAATAAAGGAAATGTTTTTTTTTTTTTATTTTGATAAAAACGATAGTAACATTAATAACTTAGATAAGAGATTTAGCAAAAACAATTGAAATATCTTGAAAAAAAAACTATTATAAAGTTTAAGAAAAATAACTGCTAAAAACCTAGGGATTGCCTGGCCGATACAGTCATTGCCCGATGCATCACATAGTTATTGCCCACGTTTCATATATATTTAATAAAATATATTAAACTTATTTGAAATTTAAGATCTTTTTTAACTTTTTGCAGGTTAGCATATATATCTAAACAATCAAAAATTTTACGTAGTTTTGTGTTTTAAACCATACTAGGTTTATTTTAAACATTAAAACTACGAAAATCGGAATGCCTTTACTTGACCTGTACTGCGTGTAACCGTATACCGTATACCTATACCGTATACCTATACGGGGTAACTAAATTCATATGGAGTAAGGAACTCGTTTTTTAGTAAAGCATAAAAATTCATTTAAAAACGTGATGGAACAAAGCTGATTTAATGTCCTAAGTTATGTTTAAAAAATCACAGTCCTTTATATTTTTGACCTATTTGTGGATCTGATAACCTTCGTAGGTCTTTCTGTGCCTATTTTCAGTTTAAAACATTTGACATTCTATCAAAAAGTAATTAGATAATATCTGGGCAATTGCTACATATATCTATATATAGATACGTCGCAATCGCGCCAAGAATAAAACATGGACTTTAATAGCGCCTCCAGCATTAATTTCCAACATTTGCATTCGCTTCTGCGTAATTGTTGACCTTCTTATTGTTTCAATAGCAGCGTTCATTTTAAATAGTTTAACAATGAGGCTGATTCTGAAGAGCTATTTGTCTAAACCTATCTTTTAACATAATATTCTAATTTGATTATTTCGCGAAACTGTTCTTTTATGGATAAAGTAATAATATATTTTATATTTATTTTTTATTTCTCTCACAAAATGACAACATAATAAAATTTACAGCTATATAGGTTACAACTTAAAAACAATCATTGTGAGAGACTGGTGTCGGTCCTAGGATAACCCGTCTTACAGATCACCAGGCTTCCAAACTCAAGGACATCTATTTTACTTGATCTATAAAGGTAAGAGTATACAAGTTAATAAAATGAAATTAGAATTTTTTTATAATATACGTGTATGTACTATGTATGGGTGAGAGGATAAGTGAAAGGTGAGCAAGTGCGTGTGAGTAATAATATAATTTGAACTTAGAGGTGTCACGTGCGCATTGCCGATCCTGAAGAAACCTTAATATACCCTTTTCAAAGAACCCCATACCTCTACCCTAGGAAAAACCTTGACAGGGAGCTAAATCTGTTATTTCCCTTTTTATTCCTTTTATTTCTATTATAGTCATTGCAATAAAGATTTCACTGTAATCTCAAATTAAAATTTTATTTTTGTATATAGGTTTAGTAAAATAGCTTTAGAATAGACCCCCAATGTGGTAAAAAGTATAAATGGAAATGCCTATGTATACTACCGCTGGGGTCCTTTTTTGTTACTTTTAAGCTTATAACGCACCTATCATCTTAAAAAAATCATTGACTATAAAAGAAGCATATTTCCAAATAGATTTAGTTAAAAAAATCTGTTGTGGCGAAATCGATTATTTTAATTTAAAAAGTAAACTAATTAAATCGATTTTAATAAAATTACTGTGGGACCAATCTGAAAGTATACATTTTCATTTATAAAAAATAATATATTAAAATCAATTGTTAGATGGCGGAATTTTGAGGTTACAAACAAAAATTACAACTTTTATTTTTTAAGTCGATTGAAAACGTTATTCTTTGCAGGTACAGGTACAGATATGACCACCCCACTATTTTCTTATTATTATTCTAATTTACGTATACGTTACATTATGTCTTTGTAAAATTCTGAATAGAATTTATTTTATTTTTACATAACCTGAATTAAACTACTGTTTTTTTTTTGTGAAATTTAATCTTAATTTATACTTGTCTTAATTGGTAATAAAATCAGTCAGTAATAAACTCAGCTAAAAAATAATGACTATTAATAATAAGTAATCATTTAAAACAAACACTTTTTTATCTTTACAACAAATAATTGGTTTCAATTTATTTCATTGCATTAACCGTTATTATTATTTATTTAAATAAGACGTGCTAGTATTGTTTACTGGAAAATATAGAAAAACGGACTTTAGCCACTTTGTGCACTTACATTAATCCAGCATGTTAACAATAACCACCTCACGTACCAGTATATCCTGACTTTAGGATCGTCATCTTGTGTCATATCTATAGTTAGTGTCACAACAGCTGTTGCAGCCAGATGTGCAGACGATACTCCATAGAACCATAGTCTAATGGTGGATAATTTGTCGCCGGATGACAACGCAGGCACATGCGAATACCGCAGCGATGTCATATCGACTAACACATGCACTACAGATAGTATACGTTCGTGCATTGATAACCCATGTATATGTCGTTACACCTATTTATTTTATGTCGTAGTTAAATTACATAATTATTTTATTTATAAAACGACTATTGCAAAATTGTTATTTTGTAGAATCTTCAACTGGTGTCATCATTATCATCATCTCAGCCATCATCTGCCAACTGCTGAACATTGGTCTCTCCCGCGGACTTTTTTATAAAGAGTGATAATAGAATGGTAACCTCGCAATCGGTATACGCTGGCGGGACACCAGTGAGGGATGATAGGTGACGATGAAAGAAGGCTAGTTAGCCCGTCGTTACGAATTTCACTAGAATTAACCACAATGGTTCCCAGGAGGTTTCCAGGGGGAACCGTGAAGGTCGTCCTGATAGGGTGTTAGCTTTAGATTAGTTAGACCCCATTTCTACAATCCCTTTCCCTTCTCCCACATAGACTACCATAAGGTTCTGAGCCACTTACATCTATTGACTACCTACAATGCATTTAAGGTCGTCACTCCGTCTAGTGGGGGGATCGTCCTACACTGTGTTTACCCATATGGGGTCGCCACTCAAGAACTTTTTCCCCATCGGTTGTCGGTTCTTCGAGCTATGTGACCAGCATATTGTCATTTCAACTTGCTTATCCTTCGGGCTATGTCGGTGACTTTGGCTCTTTAGCGGATATCGTCATTTCGAATGTGTTTGTTAACTGGTGTGTTTTATAATAATTCTGAAAATGATGGAAAAGAATCATTATCCCTTTCTCGTTAAACTCATCCAACTATATGTCTGTCCTCAAAATGAGTGACTCTTTCAATGAGAAGTAATAGTAATTTACTAATATAGAAGGGACTACATGGCAATTGCCATAGAATGAGACACCTCTTCCTTTCCTTACCTGTGGAAAAAGATTAAATTTTTTTCGAGAATTTTTTTGCACATTTTCTCAATTTAGACTGATTTGGATTAGTCTTACCGCCGGCATTACCCAAAACGTACCGCGAAAAAGAATTGTTTTTTTTTTATTTCTTTAAAAATCAATCTCTGATCGAAAAAATAAAGATTTTTGAGATTTTTTTTAATTGAAAAAATGAATATAAATCGAAAAATTACTTATAATGGTGATTTTTGCAAAAAACAAAGAATTTGAAAATTTGGGGCACTATAAAAAAAATCGCAGCGCTTTGAATTTTTCAGGGATTTTAGGGGACACTTTGAGGTTGAAAAATTACTGACGATATCCTTCGTTTATCCATTTTATCCAAAATTATCCAAATATCCTTAATTATGCAAATTTTGTCTTTTTTTTAGCCAAAGTTTTCAATGAAAAAATTTTTTTCGACAAAAGCCATTGACGGTATCTTATATAAAATATCATGTAGTTTCCAAAACTTCCTTTAATTTCCTATACGATCATTATTTCCAGAGTTATTGATTGTCAAAGTTAAAATGTACTTTTTAGGTACTAGAACTGACGATAACTCAGCGGCAAATCATCGTATAGGCTTTTTGATTACATCAAATTAAAGATTATTAAATTTTCTAAAACAGCTATTGAAAGAAACAATGAAAAAAATTGCATTTTTTGGTTGCTTTCTTAGGATTACTGCAGACCCAAACATGATAAAAAATATTCATGATCAAATCTTAAAACTAGACACTTGAAGCTACAATTAGCTTTTTTTCTTTATGCTGTATCATCATTTTCCTTGGATTTACAGCTCGTTGAAAATCACACAAAAATTAGGAGTTTTTTTTAAATACTTATCTTAATTTTTGTGACTAGTGTATTAAAGATCTACTCATTTTATATTGTTTAAAAATATTTCCATGGTCTTCTAAACAGACTCTGTTGATAATCGCCTCTGGAACTTTGCCCGGAATAAAGTACATGACTATTCTATTATGGATCTTATAAACTTATTCCGATTCCATGTACTTGCAATGCAGTTATCTAGATATTTCGTAATTCAGCGAATTGGTATAATTTCTCTGCAACATTTAACTACCTATTTTTTTGTGTGCATATCACCACTGTGTAATTAAGCTCTTAATTAGCAATATCTCTACTTAATTATTAAAAACGGTCTTAATTTGATGATAATTAATACAATAATATTATTTTATTTCGACAAATATGTGTTTCAGCCAATGAAGGCCACAGTATCATTTTTGTTAAATACTTAATAATAATGTACTAATTACGTACTTATTTTATCATTAATGTACTCTTTAATGTACACTAAAATAATAGTGAGACTAAACTTAAATAATAGGAATATATATATATATATATATATATATATATATATATATATATATATATATATATATATATATATATTACATATATAACACAGAGGACAAACGAGCATGCGGCTCACCTCATGGCAAGTGACTACTGCCGCTCATGATTACTCGCAACAACAGAGACATTACAGGTGTGCTGTCAGGCATATAGGCATAATTTCTTATCACACAAACCAAATGAGTTGAATTTTGACAAAATGTGTATGAGATATATATCTTTATAGCTTCCATAAAGTTAGGAGTGCTCAATAGGGTGAGACGATATTTCATGCCAGAACACCGCCTGAAATTATATAAAGCCCAAGTCAGGCCGCATATGGAATACTGTTCTCACCTGTGGGCAGGAGCGCCACAGTACCAACTCCTTCCGTTAGACCGCATTCAGAGTCGGGCGGCTCGAATTATCGATAGTCAACGCCTTACTGTCCGACTTGACCCACTGAAACTGCGCAGAGATGTTGCATCTCTGTGCATCTTCTACCGAATTTATCATGGGGAGTGTTCTGAGGAATTGTTCGGATTGATACCTGCTGCTGATTTTCACCACCGTACAACCCGCCACAAACTAAAGTTTCATCCCAATCATCTGAACGAGTGGCGGTCTTCCACCGTGCGTTTTTCAAGGCACTTTCTTCCACGCACAACCATTCTTTGGAATCAACTTCCAGCAGCAGTATTTCCGAACCGATACGACAACATAACCTTCAAGAAAAGAGTATATTCCTTTTTAAAAGGCCGGCAGCACACCTGCAATGCCGCTGGTGTTGTGGGTGATCATGGGCGGCGGTAGTCACTTACCATCAGGTGAGCCGCATGCTCGTTTGCCCCCTGTGTTGTAAAAAAAAAAGAGATGTGTTTTGTTTTAAAGGACACGTATTTATAGCTTGGTTTTTTTTTTGATAGATGAAAATTGTATGGTAACCCCGTCTGCGCTAACGGGATACGCTGGCGGAGCACCAGTGAAGGGTGATAGATGAGAATGAAAACAGGCCGGTTAGCTCATCATGATGAATTAACCATGATAGTTTCCAGGGAAACCGCGAGGAGGTCGACCTGGTTGGGTATATTGTTAGCAATGGGATTCTCAGTCTCTATTACTAACAATCCCTTTCCCCCCTTTATAGCTTGGATGCAAGACCTTTCTATGTCATAATTTCCATACGTTTGATAAAGGATGCTTATAATCACTTATATTTGCACACATAGGTATCGATTAAAGCATCTTGTCATTTAACTGGCGGGAGGAATTATTTGGTGGAAATTAATTAAATTCGCTGGCAAATATTAATCTGCCCAAAATGAATTTTTGCAGGTAAACAGCATGTGCTGTATATTTCCGATGACTTCTTATTTTAGATAAAGAATTAGGTTACTACTTTTTTTACAGTCGCAGTCGCCACCGTGTTATCTATAATCAACATAATTATTAGTCTTACATTAAACTAAGAATCTATATATACTATTGAATCAAAAATGACAACAGATTAATGTCCAACAACCCATACACGTCTCGTTAATCGCTATGGAAGAGTTAACATTTTTTATCGTTTTCGGCCTATATTTATTTAGTAAAAATAACCACTTTCTCTTATAGAAAACTAACTTGAAAGTACGCTAACGACTTTGATTTTAGGAAATATGAAGGTACTGTATAGTGTTGGTATAATTTTTAAAATTAATTCTTTAAAAAACGGAAAATGAGAGGTCGAAACATAATGTAACCCATGTAGACTAAGAATAAGGGTGTTAAGAACAAACTAAAGAACAAAGAGTATAAATATAATAAAAAAAAGTAATTATTTATTTATTTATACTTTATTGTACACACTAATTGTTGGCAAACCCAACATTTTATTAAAAAACAAAAATATTTTTTTGTTTTTCTCCTATGTGTAACAGCACAGTGCCACAACCATTTTTATTCTCTTATAATGTGCTGTATGAATCGAATACGCTCTCTCTACCATTATTTGGTATTTTTATTAATATGCAGCGCAATTATATAGGCCACTATACGCAAACTTTTCTACATTAATAATACATAAAAAATATGACAAAGTTCTCTTTCAGCAAACCCAAAATGGAAAAGAGCAGCAATGTCAGCGGGCAGAGCGGTGTACAATACTGTGACAATTTGCAAACAAAAAGAACTAGACAAATTAAGTTTGATAAAAGTTTCTTTGATATAGTCTCTAAAATATATAATAAATTCCCGAAGGCATTTAAGGAAATAGAAAATTTAAATGTATTTAAAAAAAAAGCAAAAGAATATTTGACAGCCAAATGATACTATACATTACATGACTATTACAATGATAAATATAAGACATACAATTTAATTATTTTTATTGTAATTTTTACATTTTATTATTATTGACATTGTTATTATTGTTATAAGTTATTATTACACAAAAACTTACTTTAATTTTATATTGTACATGTCGATATGGTAGAATGTAATGGACATGTAAATAATATTTTCATCTAATGTATGTACCCATATTCGTGCACATATATATATATATATATATATATATATATATACCTCAGAATTGCGTCCTTCTAGTATTTGTTGATATAACAATATTATTGGCAATATTGACATATTGTGTTAATATTAATAGGTACTTGACGTCAAAGTCAAATTGATATGTAACATACCTATATACCTACAAAAACACACCGAGTTATCTAAATTC